TTATATTACAGCGTGCAGCCAGACAGGAATGCAATCCCGATTTTTACGGAGGCATGCAATGAAATATTGTCATGCTGCTAGTTAAAATTTCTAATGCAAATGTGATTCAAGTGCGTACACTAGCTCTAGCTAAGAGCAGTATGCCAATATTTCATTGCATGTCTCCGTAAAAATCGGGATTGCATTCCTGCCTGCCTTGCTCGCAGACTTACTGCCCACCTGCGCGCCTGCCAGATTCGTTGTCTAGCTATCTGACTAGACACATACAAATGCATATATATAGATGTTTATATCATATATATATAATATATATTTATTTTTGTTGCTAAATGTGTGACATATCTAATGGAAACGAGGCATGTGTGATTCACCCCGCTGCACTCTGCCTAAGGATAGCGTGAAAATCGTTGACATTGTGAAGATGGGTAATATAGTAAATCTATAAAAATAATAGAGTAAACATTTTCAACGTCGTGAAAGTGGGGAATGTCAGCTCTCATGCTGTTTCTCGTCTTTCACGAAAAGACGTACGTGCCACTACGCAGTTATTTAGCATCTATCTATCTATCTATTCATCTTGCCAGGATTGTAACGTTCATATATATATATATATATATATGCATCGATGGCGTCCTGCAAAGCTGGCTGCCTCCATGGGTAAGTGCCTACCTGCATGCATGCCTACCTGCCTCCCTGGCTACCTACGAGTCTGCCTCGCTGCCTGTCTTCCTGCCTGCCTGCTAAACTGCATCGCTGCCTGCCTGCCAGCATGCCTGCCTACCTGCATCACTGCCCGGCTGCCTGCATGGCTGCCTGCTTCCATCTCGACCTGCATGGCTGTCTGCCTTCATGGCTATCTGCCTGCCTGTCTCGTTGTAAGCCCGTCTGGCTGCTTGTCTGCTTCTCTGCCTCTCTGCATGTCTACCTGCCTCCTTGGCTACCTACCAGTCTGCCTCGCTGTCTGTCTGCCTGCCGGCCTACCATACTGCATCGCTGCCTGGCTGCCAGCATGGCTGCTTGCACCCATTGCTAACTGTCAGGCTGCCTCGCTGCCTGGCTGCCTACCTGCCTGGCTGCCTACCTACCTGGCTAACTGCCTGCCTGCCTGCCTTGCTACCCGGTTGCCTGCATAGCAGCACGCCTCCATGGCTAACTGCCTGCCGACCTCCATGGCGACCTGAAAAGCTGGCTGCCTCCATGGGTAAGTGCCTGCCTGCATGCATGCATGTCTGCCTGCCTCCATGGCTACTTGCTAGTCTGTCTCGCTATCCGGTTGTCTGCATGACTGCCTGAATGCGTGGGTGGCGTCCTGTGCGTTCGCATTTGTTGGTAGTTGACTGTTTGTCTGCCTGTCTTGCTTTCTACCTGTCTGCCTGCCTTCTTGCCGGCCTGGCTGCCTGCATGCCTCACTGCCTGGCTGCCTCGCTGCCTCGCTGCCTGGCTGCCTACGTCTATGGCTAACTACTTACATGCTTCGCTGCATGGTTGCCTGCATGTCTGCCGGCCTCCATGGCGACCTGCATAGTTGTCTGCCTCCATGGCTATCCAGCTGTCTGCCTCATTGTCAACCTGTCTGAATGCTTGTCTGTTTCTCTGCCATCCTGCATGTCTACCTGCCTCCCTGGCTACCTACAAGTCTGCCTCGTTGTCTGTCTGCCTGCCTGCCTGCTAAACTGCATCGCTGCCTGCCTGCCAGCCTGCCTGTCTACCTGCATCACCGCCCGAGTGCCTGCATGGCTGCCTGCCTCCATGGCGACCTGCATCGCTGTCTGCCTCCATGGCTATCTGCCTGGCTGCCTCGTTGGAAGCTTGTCTGGCTGCTTGTCTGCTTCTCTGCCTGTCTGCATGTCTACCTGCCTCCCTGGCTACATACAAGTCTGCCTCGTTGCCTGTCTCTCTGCCTGTCTGCTCAACTGCATCGCTGCCTGCCTGCCAGCCTGCCTGGCCACCTGCATCGGTTTTCCCCGGCTTTGCAGCTCTGGTGCTGTTCAAGCGTCGGTCAATGGCGGGGAAACGCTTCTAACTCTTTAGAAATATATTTTTCGCATTAAAAAATGTGCAAATTTGTTAGCTCCATTGCCTAGCATAAAAAGCATGTTAAAATTTTCGATTCTGACTAACTAATCATTATACTGTATCTGTGTGTTCCAGGTAGCAGTCATCCTTTATGTTAAATAAACCAAGGAAGATGGTATCTATTTATGACTGCTACCATTTGTCCAATTTAATGAGTTCAATTCCATCCTGTGGTTTAGCTTTCTTTCCTGAGTATATATTTAGTGCTTTACAATAAAAATCAGCAGTTTTCCACTTTACTTCATCACAACACGAAAACAACCCAAAGTTGGACCCAAAGCCTGCCATTTTACCTCCAGGATTGGAGGCTACAGAAGAGAATGTGGAAGCACTGAAAGGATGGCTTCTTGACTATTATGGCGCGACGACATTCAATGTGTGTGAGCATCAACCACTGCCACTTATGAAGTGTGAGCCTCTACAACTCCACGTTGACCCCAACGCCAAACCGGTGGCCATCCACAAGCCAGCGCTTGTCCCAATCCACTGGCAGGATAGAGTCTATGCTGATCTCGAGAGGGACGTCCGCATTGGCGTCCTTGAGCGGGTCAGTCCCAACACACCCACAACATGGTGCTCCAGGATGGTGGTAACAGGCAAGGCTGATGGAACCCCAAGGCGGACTGTAGACTTGCAACCACAGAATCGTCACTCCGTCCGGCAAACCCACCACGTGCCCAGCCCCTTCCACCTGGCAGACAGTGTTCCTCAGGGCATGAAGAAAACGGTGACAGACGCCTGGAATGGGTACCATTCCGTGCCCATTCGCGAAGAGGACCGACATTTCACAACGTTCATCACGCCATGGGGGCGCTACAGGTACAAGGTGGCTCCACAGGGATTCCTGGCCAGCGGTGATGCCTACAACCAGCGCTTCGATGCCATCATCACTAACTTCCGAGACAAGGTCAAATGTGTGGACGATACCTGTATGTGGACAAATTCAGTCGAAACAGCGTTCTTTCAGGCATGTGAATGGCTTGACCTGTGTGCGCGCAATGGCATCACTCTGCACCCAGGGAAATTTCAATTTGCCCAGGACACTGTTGACTTTGCAGGACTTACGATCACACCGACAAACGTACGGCCCAGTACCAAGTTCCTGGATGCCATCAGAAACTTCCCTACTCCAACTGATATCACCGGTGCCAGAGCTTGGTTCGGACTTATCAACCAGGGGGCGTATGCATTCGCAATGACGCGGCAGATGCAGCCCTTTCGCGCTCTACTGAAACCCTCCACAAAATTCTTGTGGACAGATGAGCTGGACGAGTTGTTCCGCCAATCCAAGGAGGTCATCATCCAGGAGATGAAAGAAGGAGTGCGCTATTCGACCGCCCTCGACTGACATGCCTTGCACTGACGTCAGTTGATGGCATTGGGTTCTTCATGATGCAGAAGTACTGCCAGTGCACTACCCGAACTCCTGTCTGTTGCCATGACGGCTGGAAACTCTGTCTGGTCGGCAGCAGATTCACACACCCCGCAGAAAGTAGATATGCTCCCATCGAAGGCGAGGCCTTGGCTGTTGCGTATGCACTCACCAAACACGCTACTAATGTGCTGGGATGCAATGATCTAATCGTCGCACCTGACCATAAGCCTCTATTCCAGATCTGAATGATAGGTCGCTCACCGACATTGACAACAGGCGACTCCTCAACCTCAAAGAGAAAACTCTGGGATATCGGTTCACAATCGTGCATGTGTCTGGCAAAAAGAACCTGGGCCCAGATGCCGCTTCTAGACACCCTGTCAGTCAGCCCGATCGCCTACGCCTGCCAGGTGAGCCATCAGAACTTGACCTACTTGCCAACATGACTGTGTCCCGTCACGACACCCTGGCCAACCTTTGTCAGCATACAGAGGATACTGATATGGCTGATGACATGTCCACAGTCGCCGCCGCGACCACCAGTCTGAATGCTGCTATCACAGTCGTTACGTGGGACATGGTCCGTGAGGCCACAGCATCAGACACGACATTTGTCAACCTCATCCACCACCTGGAGTCTGGGTTTCCACTGGATTGCAGAGAGCTGCCCACAGACCTGCGTCCTTATCACCGCTACGCAGCCAGCCTGTGTGTTGTTGATGGTGTGATACTCATGGGCCAGCGAATTGTAATCCCGCCTGCGCTTCGCACACAAATACTCAACGCACTCCACGCTGCCCACCAAGGGGTCAGCGCGATGCGTGCACGGGCCATGGACTCGGTGTATTGGCCGGATATCACCGTTGACATTGCTAGAGTGAGGGACCAGTGTGCACACTGCCATCAGACGGCCAAGTCCAACCCGATGCAGCCCCTTCCGACATAACACCGCAGACTACCCTTTTCAGATGATCTGCAGTGACTACCTTACGTATAACAGCAAAGACTATGTAGTAATTGTGGATAGGTATTCAAACTGGCCCATGGTCTACAGGTCAGATTCGGGTGCTGAGGGCCTCGTCAAGCGACTGCGTGAGACATTTGTGACATTCGGCATCCCTGAAGAGTTGACATCTGATGGGGGTCCACAGTTCAAGGCAGGAAAGACACAGGAATTCTTGAAGGCATGGGGGGTTAGACACAGGGTCTCATCCGTTGCAAACCCACATGCTAACTGCAGGGCTGAACTGGCTGTGAAAACGGTGAAACGCATGCTCATGGATAACATTACGCGCAGCAGGGTCCCTCGAGTCGACAAGTTCCAGAGAGCATTACTGATGTACAGGAACTCTGTCGACCCAGAGACGAAGTCCTCTCCGGCACTGATCTTATTCGGGCGACCCATCCGTGATGCCATCCCTATCCCGCTGGGCAGATATTCTCCCCACGAAACATGGACAGAGCTGATGTCCCATCGAGAGATGGCACTCGCTCGACGGCACTCCAGGGAGCATGAACGGTGGAATGAACACACTCACCGGTTACCAGCACTGCAGGTGGGAGATCATGTCTACCTCCAGAATTTGGTGGGCAACCACCCAAGAAGATGGGAACGCACCGGGACGGTCATAGAGGTACGGCAGTACCACCAGTATGCTATCCGTGTCGACGGTGCGGGCAGAGTCACTATCCGGAACCGCCAACATCTTCGCAAGTTCACCCCTTTCAACAGAACTCCCAACGGGGGCACAGCAGTAGAATCCAGCCCAGTTGCGCAGCAACCGCAGGAAGTGATCTCCGATCACCCCACTCACTTCCAAGCAACACACCCACACGACATCCAGAATCACATCCCATCACCATCACCGTTTGGGCATCAGACGCCGCTCGTCCCAAACAAGTCACCCACCGTGGCTCCTACGCCTGTACGTGTGTCCCAGACACCCCTAGCGCCACAGAGACTGAACTTCGATCGTTCGGACCACCACTCTCCTTGCCCGGATGATCCGGCTATGACCCGGGTACCACGTGCTATTGCCCGTCTCCAGCCTCACAATAAGCCTGGTACTAAGGAGCTACTGACACCGCGCAGGCCTGGCCGCCTAGTCAGGGAAGCAGAATACCAACACAGTGAGGGATGACAACGCCTGATCATGAGACACTGTTTTTTAAAGACTCAGTTTTATTCAGAACTATTCAGGGGTTGTTGTTTTTTGTGTGTGTTTTTTTTTACGTGTCCCGAGAGACTGTTAAAGGCACAGTTTTATTCAGAACTATTCAGTTGTTTTTCGTGTCCCGAGAGACTGTTAAAGACACAGCACATTTTCATTCAGAACTATTCAGTTTTACCAGTGTCCAGAGAGACGGTTGAGAGACTGTTGGAGACTATTCAGTTTTATATGTACCCATAAAAACTTGTCCCTGGGGGGAGGAGATAACTAATCATTATACTGTATCTGTGTGTTCCAGGTAGCAGTCATCCTTTATGTTAAATAAACCAAGGAAGATGGTATCTATTTACTAACCTCAGTCAAGTCACTGGCCACAGATTCACAATCATTCAATGAAGTTTAGAAACTGGCAATCTATAAATAGTTTTGTTATAATACCTTTATTCATAATTAATATTAAAATTTGTGCTTCAATTATATGATTACTGATAATGAATTGAATTTTTACTTTTTGTAAATATAATACATGTGATTCAACAATACTTTTAAATGAATGGTTACTTAATAATAATTAATTTCAAATACAAATAAATAAATTTACCAAACTGTCACAAAACCCGATCATCAACTGACAAGCAACGAAGGGTTCGAATTTCTATTGGACAGCAGGACGACCAACTTCAGAAAGTTGCCTTGTAAAACTGCCCATGTGATAACCGTATTATTTCAGAGTAATACGAGGGAAAAAGTGCCGATCAGGAGGACCGGCAGTTTCGTAGAGATGGTTGCCCGAGCAAAAACTTGGTGGCCTCGGGCTTCCGGTTAATTTTGAATGCTGGAGATAACTCGTATATATTTCCTCTGCACACGATTTGACTCACTTGCCCCTTCGGGCAAGTTTAAGGAGCAAATCACTTGCCCGATAGCCCCAAGTACTTGCCCCGGGCAAGCGGACAACCGTTAAACTCGAGCCCTGGCTGGATTATGACAATAAATACTCAATTATCAAAAAAAATTTAAATAAAATGTGCAAACCTTGATGAAATGCCTATGGCTATATATATATATATATATAATTTTTTTTGGTTACTTTACAGCTTAAAGTAATTATTACGAGTTTTCCAGTGTTTTCACCACTTTGATGATACCTACCGTTATTGCTCGAGTAACAGCAATTGTCTAGAGTAACAATAAAATGTCTTAGAACCTTCGTATTCACCAAAACATGCAATTTTCGAACTACTAGTTTGGTAAACATTCGTTTGCTGTAATCTTGAAACTAGCCGGTAGTATAGACTAGATAGTAGTGCCGCCGCCTATCTGCAATAGACATAGTACAGGCTCTCTCAAATGCACTTGTTTTCAATTAATCACCGACAATTTACAAGTTTACCAATTCTGCCATTCTCGCTACACGATAAGATGCATTGCTGTTATGATGTGTTCATATCTAATTTTCTATGCTATAACTGCATAAAATCTTGGAAGGTATTATTTACACGACCGTCATGTACCGAGTGATGAAAAATGGCATTGCGCGGACGACTGTCGGGTACCGAGTGATGAAAATCGCATTGCGCGTAAGACCGTCGGGTACCGAGTGATGGAAATAGCGTTGCGTGCACCATAGTCGGGTACCGAGTGATGAAAAAAGGTGCTGCGCACCCGACCGTCGTGCGCACAGTGAAGAAATTTTTGTCTTGTTTACCCGACCGTCGTGCGCGCACTGAAGAAATTAAGTCTTGTGCACCCGACCGTCGTCCAATATTAATCGATGCGTTGGAAATAGGACAAGGTGTAAAAAAATTTTGTTTAGGGTTACGTCCTTGAATAAAATAGGGTAGGTAGGTAAGGAAATAATTTTATTTTGGCAAATAATTTTATTGCTCTTGATTGCCATCTGTCAGTGTCACTCTTGACTAACCTTCTGTTCGATAGTATTAATTGCTCCCTTTTCTTAATACTAAAAATGTAACCTTTTCTTATTGAGTAGTCTTGCCTAACAGTCTGTTTTACATTATTAAATGCTGCTAGGTAGGGTCGACGCCAAAATTCTAGGTAGGGTCGCGTAACCGTAAACAAACAATTATGTTTTTTACCAATAGGTTGGGGACATAAGGGCCAAACATAACAAGACAAATATATAATAGGAAAATTTTTAATGCCAAACATAAACAAATATATTTAATGCCAAACGTAAACAAATAAATACACAAACAAATACAATATAAAGAAATACAGAAAGCAGAGGAAAATAAAGAACTCTTACAGGAATCAAACACGTACCGTTACAGTTACAGGTCGAGAAGTTTACCATTGCGCTATTTAGCCAACCTTATATCTGTTGCTATTGAGCACAAGCCTGTGCCCTCAAACTATTTTTCCAGCTGAGCATTCTGGGTAAATGGACTTAATCGATGACGTCACGGTCGTGTACCGAATCGGGATTTTCTTCATTGCGGGCCCGACGGTCGGGTAAATAATCACTTCCTAAAATCTTAGTGTTTTTAATGTTGGTGTAATCAGTGATATTTCCGCTGTCAGGTGAGACTATATTCAGCTATATTTCTTTTTTTCTGAGCAAAAATTTCCCAATCAGTTTAAAGGGATTCTGACATCTATAGCATATTTAGCCTAATATATGACATTGTAATTACTTTTAAACATGTTTCCTGACATTTTTAGAACATATTATGATCAAACCTGCTTTTGATTATGTCTATGATCGATCTTGGGCTACGCCAACTTTTGTACAGGCCGCCATAATTCTCCTGCAATGCCTTGCGTGTTTGTTGAGTGGCGCGTGCTCACTTCTTTCACACATTGGAAATGGGCGAACCACGTGTTTACGTATCTTCTGTCAGTTCTGAATCGGACAGTAGGCCCCCGAGGAATTTCAATATCTGACTAAATCTGCCACCAATTTTGCACCGTACGGTACTCTTTTGAGCCCGAGTGGAAAGATGGGGAAAAACGGGTAGCATACAGTGTTGGTGATTCGCTTCAAGTTCAACACCGTGTCACCGGAACAGCTGACGATTGGTGCAGCTGCGGCTTGTGCCAAGCAAAGGATGTTATCACTGTATCAGGCTCTGATGTTATCGAACAGAGAGTGTCTTTGTTGTCAAGAAATGACATCAGTCAGGGAACACCTTCAGCCTCGTATGTTTCAGTTTTTCAATTAGAATTTTCGATGGTAGACAAGCATGCTGAGTTTCTGATGCAAATTTGCTGCTAGGCTAGATACAATAATGGCTATAACTGGCTATAAATTATAATGCTATAACTGGCTAGATACAATATTCAATAATGTAACCCAACACAGAATAGGCCCTAGCATAGGGTCTATTCCCTATAGCCTAGGGCCTATATAGCCTAATATACTGGCTATAACTGGCTATAAGAATAATGGCTAGATACAATTAATAATGTAACCCAACACAGAATAGCCTAGGGTCTACGTTCAACACATGGCAGGGTCTAGGGTCAACGTCAACACAGGGTGGCCTAACCCAATAATTAGTGTCACAATAATTAGTTAACAATAATTAGTGTCACAGTCTAACCCAACCCTGTGTTGGGTTACGTTGTATTTAATTACTTCCCTGCTAAGGGCGATCAGCCAAAAGGTTACTTCGGCCTACGCTGGCTACAGTACATGCTACAGCTACAGCTACAGCTACTGCTGGCCCCGGATGCAATGATTGATGACAGAACAATAATTATAACTTTAAAAAATACGTTATAAGTAGAGTACCCAATCCCTTTGACATAAGTATATTATCACCTCCGCCAGAGGCGTGGCAGAGGTTATGTTTTCACCGGCGAATGTTTGAGTGTTGGTTTGTTTGTTTGTGAACATGCACGTTTCAGTTCACTTTCGCTAGGTGCGCTGGCTGTAGACTTAAAAACACGCAAACACAGGCTAAGGGGCAACCACAGTCCTCCCCCACCTGCACGCTTCCACTAATCCGGATCCAATTAATTAATTAATTAATTTTTCCACTTAATTAATTAATAAAAAATTCCACATTGAGAGAATTCAGCTGCCTTGAGGTCTGTGCTCTCCGAGTGCTCTTGTTTATATATAGTATAAGTGACAATTTGCTATGTTGACTTAAATGTTACATGTGACTGGATAATCTACTTTGACTGCATACACCCCTATCTGAATATATGTGCAGCAAATATAGAAATCTTAAAAATTAAATGAGCATTTATAATTTGTTTGGTTTGACAGTGGAGTGGTCTTTTAAGTTTTATTTCTAGCATCTTAGCTAATACAATTACACGTTTAATCTACAATAAACACCATAAAAGAAATATAAAATGACAGTAGTTTTATACGTATGCAGGTTTCTCCAAGAGCACTTATACTTATAGCCTGGCGGCCCGCCAGGCTATCGTCGAGCCCCGCCATCCTAAAATGCACCCGCCACTCTAAATATCATAGCCGCCATCACTAGGTATCCCTTTTAGTATTACGATTTTATTTTAGTAAACTTATTAACTATTATCTACAACTGCCATCTCCATAATATAGTAACAAACAGCAGTTCTGTGGTCATAGGCCTATCTTTAAATATGCAGCTTAGGCCCAGAATACCACATTAGGAATAAGACCAGAGCCGTACAATACTAGTAGGTGCTGCAGAAATTTACATACACGTACCTGATAGCCTGCTTGTAATGCATCAGAGCCTCCTGAAGTTTTCCCTGTTGCTGCAGCACACTGGCAAGGTTGGAGTGTGCAGCAGCAAACTCTGGGAATACCTACAGATAAAATTATGAAAATTTAATTTAATTTTTAGAGCAGAGTTTAGCCTAGAGTTAAGTTGGAGGGTCTTCAAGGCAAAAATTTCGTTCAAATGAGGGTTATTATCGTAGTTCCACATGGAAGAGTTACCATAGAGAAATGAAATTACTTTATCAAGTAACTTATAAGTAATGATACTGCACATTACTAATCTATTAGACAGGGACTGCAAAGCCTTGTTTTCACCAGGCCTACATTGTGGCCCAATCAGATGTCATCATCATTGGCAATGGTAATGAAAGTGTCAATGACACTATAGCTCACCTTGGGTGTGTGATAGAAGCGAGAGATGATATTTAAAATTTGGCAAGTGTTTAATTTATGCCGGACCGAAATGTGATCAAATGTCCTTATTCCCTGTTTAAAGGGAGCATTTAGGTATAAATATAATTGCACCTTTGTGATTAGCCCTCGGTCTGTCACGTACAAAATATATTGGGAAATGCGCAACTTTTCAGGGTGGCAGCACAGTCGCGGGTGTCAATGGCATTCAATTTTCGTAGCGTTGATGTGTAATTAATTATAACAATTAAATTAGGTATCTGGTAACAAGTACGTGTGGGTATAGACGATTTGTTATACAGCAAGTACAATTGTATGCAGTAAAATCCTAGAGTCTAATATCCCTTTAATACTAATAGACATTTCACTGTTTTGTTTCAGGGTTAGTTTTGATGCAAAAATAAATGTTTCAGATGCGAGTATGAAATCTGGGCGAGAGATGGAGCTGTACTTCTAAATGATCGCCATTTTGGTTTTTCGATTATCGCACAATTTAAAGCAATAAAATATTCCAGTCAAATTACTGTAACGAAGAATCTAAAACCTAATATTACACGTACGTTACTATGATTAGGTAGGTAAATTTAACAAAATTGAATGAATTTTGAATGACCTTTTCCATTTTTGCCAAAAAGTGGGCGTGGCTCGAAAGTAGGTCAACTGGCGTGCTCTAAAATAGGACGTTCAAATCTCTCCCATAGGAGTAACAACTGTATGCAATTTGAAACATGTGGGTCAAACGGTTCTTGAGTTATCGTTGACCATAGGCAGACACTGAAATGCATAGTGAAATTGCCAAAATCTACCTAATTTGCATAATTAAAAAAATATATCAAAACCCCTGTGATGTTTTGGGGCCAGTCGTTATTCATTCACAAACCTAAAATGAGCAAAATCCGTTGAACCTGAACTGACTTATGGCCATTTTCATTTTTGCCAAAAAGTGGGCGTGGCTCGAAAATAGGTCAACTGGCATGCACCAAAATAGGATGTTCACACTTCTCCCATAGGAGTAACAACTGTTTGCAATTTGAAACATGTGGGTCAAACGATTCCAAAGTTATCCGTAGCCTAATGTTGACGGAGAGACGGACAGACGTACGACGGACGACGCCCCATGGCAATAGCTCATCTTGACGATGTCAAGGTGAGCTAAAAAGGAATCACCGTTATAGAACCAAATTTATACACCTTATCAAATAAGAAATTATCCAGAAATTATGCTAAAATAGTCATATTTTACCTCCAACGCTTTGACATATAATCTCGTGGCCTCCTCTATATAACCCTGCTCACGTTTGATGTTGGCTAGGTTGTTTAGCGAGTCTGCATGCGTAGGGCAGAGTCTTAGCGCTGTGTTGTAGCATTCCTCAGCCTCTGGGACCTGAAACATTTGTCATAACAATGATAGAGATCATAAAATAGAAGGAACTTTAATATTATCAGAAGTAGATAATCTCCCAGCGAGCCACACCGCATCGCCGAGAGTGCAAGAGTCGTTAGTATCTGCCTATTGTTTCAAGTTAGGCGGGTTATGGAGTCGATCTGCTGCCAACAGAATGGAGAATTGTGTGTACGTTTTAGTCTGTATCTCCGGATTGCGGGTGTATACGAAGAAACAATTTCGTACGATGCTAGGCGAATGTACTGTGTATGTTTTCAGCTCAAGTTGGTTGAGTTACGCGTAGTAAATCGTAGGTATTCTAAGGCTAGTAAATGACGAATTTCCCTTGTATATTATACACTTGTAATTATTTATCAATAATTTATAATGTACTAGTATTTATCAATGATTTATAATGTACTGTGACTTATCAATATATACAACTTATAGATTTAATATACAATAAAAACAAGCATTGACCATAACATTTTGCTTAGAATTAGCATCAAAACATGCCTTTCCTTGCTCCTTAAGGGCATTTGCCAGATTACAGTAGGCATCGGGAAAATGTGGCTGCAGTTCGATAGCTCTTCTGTACGTGTCTATTGCAAGGTCTATTAACCTATGGTCAAATACAGTAAGCACACACGTAATGAATGGAACAATAACAATACACACTGTCACTGTAACAGTAAAGCTGATTCAATTTCAGACATTTCATGATGGTTTCTCTTGAGTTCACTATACCTTTGTGTTACAACAACGGGAAAAGATTCGCCAAGAGAAGATTCTTTATCACTGAAAGCAAGAATCTCCGTATCTAACAATGGCTTCAGACTACTACAACAGATCACGCAGACATACATACCCTTGCTCATAGTATACACAGGCCAGGTTTCCATGCACGACAGCATGGTTGGGGCTGAGGTTCAATGCACGCAAGTATGCAGCCACTGCCCGATCGAAGATGCGCGCTTCCTTCAGTACATTTCCCAAATTAATGTAAGCATCCAGAAAATTTGGGTCAAGCTGCACTGCCTACAAACAGAATCAGACACTCAGAACACATTCATTTTCGTACAGTTGGTTCCAACAGTAGGCTGAAATATAACTTTGTTGCCTGATGCTAATCAATAATAAAACCGATAAAAAGCAAATGGGTTTTTATCTACTGAACACAATACAATTCCATTATCTTCATGTATAAAAGTACAATAACAGAGAATGACTAGACACTTTACGACAATAAATCAACGATCAAAAAACTTCACCCAGATAGTAGTGATGTCCCGATGATCAATTATAATCGAAAGTCAGTCGTTTGCAGCAACCGACTAAGTGCTCGATTATGAAAACAAGTGCCGCGGAGCGACAGCGCTCATCTAACATCTACTGCGGTGACTCTGTGGTGGAGTGGTGGGATTCTAGTAAACCCTAGTTGTCCCAAATGGTGTTCCATACACGCGAAACAGTGGAATGACAGGGCATGGTATCACGGAACCTCTTAAAGGAATGTTGTCGGGCATCAGTTACTGAAAAGTTGCCACGAGATGGGCGCGTACGTTTAAGTGTCTTTCAGACTTAAAGATGGAAGCTCCCATCGTTACGTAGTAGCAACAACTGATTTGCAAGACAGAATAGGTACACGCACTCATCCATTTAACCTACCGCACAGCTACAGGCTTGCAAGTAGAGATCTGCCACCTCGTAACTAATTAACGCAGGCAACAACTACACAGCCACCACCACATGCACACTGGCAGTGGCCACTGGCGCAGTGGCGCATACGTTACAGAGCCTTGTAAAATACTGGACAATACAGAATGCCATAGAAAATTCAGAGGATTTAGGAGCACTAAACCTTCAACCAACTTTAGCTTTTGGAATTTCACTGCTTGGACATTAAGCCTCGTACATCAAGGCATGTATAGATGTCTACTTAGCAAACCCGGCCATGTCAAATTCTTTTCTAACAGGACAGTAACACAAATCCATATTTAAAACCCTCCTGCTTGAGGGTCAAAAGGTTATCCGACACTTACTCTCTCGGCATGGCATGGAAAGCATATTTCAATGCGTTTTCATAAGCCATTACAAATGCTAGGTCACCGCTGAAACAAAAAAGTTTTTTCCAATCGCTCCGCTCACACCCATGATTCCTCAGCAAAATAGGTCTAAAATCTGCACCTGTGGCAGCCTTGACCTTGTGACTCCAATTTCGGCACAGTGATGGCTCTTTCCTACCAATGATGTCTATACGACACCGACCTATCACGAAGCCTAGGCGAGCTGTTTAGATTTGGTTGCCGCAAACCTTCTGCATTTCCTCCCTATGACCTTAATGTTAGAGGACGTGAATGTTCCCCCTTCTTTTACACCTCTTGACCTTTGACCTTTGACCCCCAGCTTCGACATCCCAACTCGTTTTCGGATTACCCCCCAACGTCCCGAATATCGTGACCGTACGTCGAGCGGTTAAGATTTGTGCCCAACTGTTGACAGACGGACGGACGGACGGACGGACGGACGCTCGGACGGACGGACGATCATGCGATTCTACAAGCTGCATCTGACTATGTCAGATGAGCTAAAAATCATCCCTTTCGCGCACGATATAATATTCCTAACGCCCTAGGAGCTAGGGCGCAATTGCGCGACATTAATATTTTTATCGTTTTCAAAGGTCAACAAAAAAGGCAGCTCGCGACACCACCTTTTATGGTTATGTATATATGTATTATAAACAGAACTTCGTTGGCGAGAAGGGAAACAGTTCGTACCTAAGTTTCCTACCACGTGAAACAGTCGCAGAGCCTGGGCCAGCTACTTCATAAAACGACCCTCAAGGCCACGCGTGACGCGGCGGCTTTTGATGTACACGATCGATCGATCGCGTAGGCCTGCGTAGCACGCGCGGCACACATACCCACACACACTTGCAGCGTCAAATAAATGCACACACTGGCCAACGTCTGACAATCTCAAACAGTGAACTAAGCCGTGTCTATATTGAATGAATTATACTGTTGGACTGTAAAATGAAAATTTGTACATTCTAACCCCCACTAAAATTTTCTCTCAACGGATTTAGACGTTTCATAAAATCGACCCTGGGACTGTGAAATTCGCGGATTTCCGCGGATCCACGGGAAATTCTCATCCCTGTCAATCACTGATCGGTTGGGTGAAACCGATGATCGATGATGAAATTCCAACCGATTCCCATCACTACCTCAGGGCTCTACGTTAACTTTGAATGTCCACTTGCCCTGCAGGGCAAGTAAAACTGAAAAGCACTTGCCCTATAGCAATATTCACTTGCACTACTTTTTTGTAGTAAAATGAGAAGATCAATAAAATTAACACAACAATTTTGTTTACTGATTTTATCAAGATAATTCTAACCTCCGTCAAGTCACTGGTTACAGATTCAAAATCATTCAATGAAGTTTAGAAACTAGCAATCTATAAATATTTTTGTTACAATACCTTTATTCATAAATAATATTTAAATTTTTGCTTCAATTATATGATCACTGATAATGAATTGAATTTGTACTTTTTGTAAATATAATACATGTGATTCAACAATACTTTTAAACGAATGATTACTTAATAATAATTCATTTCAAATCCGAATAAATAAATTTACCAAACTGTCACATAACCTGATCATCAACTGACAAGCAACGAATTAGAATTCCTATAACGACTTATACTAAAATGAAATGTACACGGAGTCCAACATGGTGCAGGAGATAACCAGGGTTCGAATTTCTAGTGGACAGCAGGACCACCAACTTCAGAAAGTTGGTGGTCCGCTTATTTACTAGCAGTGAGTAACAAAATAGTATATAATGAAAGTGTCAATGACACTGTAGCTCACCACAAAAAAGGACACAAATGAGTGAGTAAGGAGAAGTCAGTTTTAATTGAGCAACCATCGACGTACATTATAGAAACGATTGCCATCTGTATATCGCAATAATAATTTATAAACCAAAATGAATCACAATTTGTGACCGTAGATGGCGCTATACCCGCTTTGTAGCGATGGCGCAATTTTGCAATAAAGATATTGTCAATGAAATCTTGTAAAACGAACCAGACGAGTGTGACACCACAGACTGTTTGTGTTTATATAATATGCTATCTAATTGCCAAACCCTACCTAATTTGCATAATTTTTTTTAAATATCAAAATTGTTGAACCTGAACTGACTAATGGCAATTCCCATTTTTGCCAAAAAATTGCCGTGGCTCGAAAGTACGTCGACTGGCGTGCTTCAAAATAAGACGTTCCATATGGGAGCATAGCAGTAACAACTACACAAAATTTCAAACATGTGGGTCAAACGGTTCCTGAGTTATCGTTGACCGAAACCAAATGTTGACGGACGGACGGACGGACGGACGTACGACGGACGACAACCCATGGCAATAGCTCAACTTGACGATGTCAAGGTGAGCTAAAAATAACCATTGTCATTAACAGCATACATGTATGTAACTTAATTAGAGTTGGTGATATAATATGTTTCAAGCTCTAGGAATGTCGGGGGAGCTTCTGGGAAAGGGTTTACTTTCGTTTTTCTCTTCCCCAGTCCACGGTACCCCCATGCATAGATCAATGCTGCCGCACAACCGCAAATTTAGAAGTGCCTAGAATTTTTAAGTATATACAGTTTACATTGCTTCTAGATATCTAACTGAATAAAAATAGTCCACTTTCTACGTAAAGAAAAGTGACGACTTCAGTTAACAGCTTTGATTACGTGGGCATCAAGTGTCACTGATCGTGCCCTCACTCCCCACGATAACCCCTGCCACATATGAACTTATTGTTATACGGTCATAAAAACACTGGGCTGCGCTACATAACGCAATCGATTTCTTAGACTGTCGCAAGTTTTTGTTCATGTGGCGAATCATGCGTTGAGGGAGTTCATGCCCTCGGCTCTAGATGTTTTGGATACCCCGTCTACGTTCAGGAACGGGGCGTATTAGAATGCGCTCCCGTTTACAAGTGTGTCTAAACTGCCGTTGAGATAACCGTAGTATTTCAGCGTAACACGAGGGGAAAAAGTGCTGGTCAGGAGGACCGGCAGTTTTGTAGAGATGGTGGCCCGAGCAAAAACTTGCTGGCCTCGGGCCTCCGGGTCGGCACTAATTTCTAACGATGGAGATAACTCGTATATATTTCCTCTGCATATGATTTCATTCACCTGCCCCGTCGAGCAAGTTTAACGAGCAGCTTGCTACTAGCTACTTGCCCGATAGCCCGAAGTACTTGTCCCGGGCAAGCGGGCAACCGTTAAGCTCGAGCGCTGAACCTGTAATTGTTTAATTTATAATTAGTTGAATACCTTCTCAAAATGATGGATAGCCAACCAGATTTCTCCTTGAGCATTGAAAACACACCCAAGGTTGCTCCAGGCCACAGCGAAGTTCGGCTGAGTCTCGATGGCTTTCAGGTAGCATGACTACATGACGGTAATAATACAGGAGGGGAAGACAGGAGACCAAGAAAACAACCATTAGAAACATTCTTGGTACACGGTACACAACTAGGTGCACACTAGACAGGTGTGACGCCGCGCCGCTAGCTGCTCGCAAAGCCGCGCCGCACCGCGCTGCGCCCAATGCTGCATCCGTTCGCCGTGCTCATACCCACGATTACCCGAGGTGCACAGGTTCTGGATTTAAATGGCTTTTATGTGTCCAAACAAGGCTAACCATACTAACACTTCTCTTTCCTGTTACAGAATTCTTCATTGAATGGCTGACATCCAAAGACGCTTGTACAGAACCTGTCAGGATCGAGCAATCGTGGCTAGGGCAAAGTGTACTTCGTAACCCTATGTACGCTCGCAAAAATGCGCCCAGCGGTCGCCAGCACCATCGCATGCAGCTTTCAAATGCGCTGAAAGCAAGCCAATATAATATTGGCAAAAATGACAATCTACTTACAAATTGTGTACAGACATACAAAATGCCAGCCTCCTCATACATAAGTTTGTTTTCACGCTTGAGTCTGTACGACTGACTTGATAACAAAACGAGTTTTCACAGGAAGTAGAGAATAAACATGGCATACGATTCAGCAAACTACAAATTTGCCAAACGCAGACCCACGCTGACTGTCATACATATACATACACACGAGTATGAAAATAGTATGTAGAGACTGATGCACAACCAGTTAAAGACCTGTTACAGAACGACCAAACATTACCAGTCCGAGTCTGCAGACGATATTCAGAGGAAGTCCTTTCACTCACATGCCGCATTGGCCAACAGGATCTTAAAACTGATGCAACGATTATATAGGGAAAAACAAAAGAGAGACCATTAGTACGTTTTCATGTCCTGAAATCTAAGCAGAACTCTCTCTTTCCAGCACCCACGTCTGCTGGCTTCGCCAGGGTCCAGCAAGCGGGCCCACATGCATTTGAACGAATCACAATGCATTGAATGACGCACCTCTGTTACACATGCATTCAGCAGAATTTATTACTGCTCTTTTTATACCGAGGCCCGAATGATGGTGCCTTGATGATTTTACTACTGCTGACACTAAACATTCTTGGCTGTTATAACGAGCTAGAAGGTAAGTATACAAAACTTGTGGGTACTATGATATATATATATATATATATATCAAGAGCTCATAATATAGAAGAGTATGACACCGTTTTAACAGCGTTTTGATAGTTTTCAACTAATATTCTATCAATATGTGAATAAATATATTCAAACTTTACCTTGTTTTCGTCTATGATTCTCCCTTAATCATATGACACCACCAATTTGCCTGAAAATCGTATGTGTTCTTCAAAAAAGTTCTTTCAGTTTGAATACGACACGGTTTCACACAGTTTTCCCAAATGTTCGCATGTATTCGGCGCATGTTGATATGCGGAAGCAGCACCAGGTTGTAACTACGGGACGCTGGGGGCTGTTGGAGATATTAGGTAAGCACAGTAACAGCACTTGTTTCGCTTCCTTATCATCAGGAACACTATGGCAACACAGCTAAAATCAGCTGCTAGCTCGCTGTGAGCACACATTTATTTCTAGCACGCTGGAAACGCTACACGCTAAATACAATTCGATGCTTAATATCCCCCACAGCCCCCAGCATTCCGTCATAGGCAATAGAACACTAATCCGATAATAAACTTGCGCCGAATACATGCGAACATTTGGGAAAACTGTGTGAAACCGTGTCGCATTCAAAGAACGTTTTTGAAGAACAGATACGATTTTCAGGTAAATTGGTGGTGTCATAGACGAATGGTGTCATAAAGGGAGAATCATAGACGAAAACAAGGTAAAGTTTGAATATATTTATTCACATTACAAGTTGAAAACTATGCCAAACGGTGTTAAAACGGTGTCATACTCTTCTCTATTATGAGCTCTTGATATATATATATATATATATATATATATACATACATATATATTAGCTTAACATTAACAAAAACTTCAGTGTTCTTTAAGAATATTATCTATGTTTGAATGATCAGTAAGCAAAAATGACCAAACATGCTTCTTCAAACCTTCTTATGCAATATGAAATGTTTTACTACATTTACAATCAATTTGATGTGCTGTATATGAGACAAATTTTATCTGATAGAGAAAATGAATTTTTTTAAATATTAATTTTAATTTTTAGAATATAAAAATGAATGTTATAATTTGTTATTCCAAAAATCTCCAAGCAGGGTCCCCACCGTAATTTTTTTTGCGACTGTGGGGTCCATACTGAGAATACGTAGCAAGTCACATCCAGTTTGATGCTTTCAGGTGGACGAAGGGCTCTGTCCATTCGCAAGCTATATCACAGGTGTGGAGGAAACAGTGTGGTCTGGCTACAACATACATCACAGACACACTCCTATGGTGTGACAATGACACCAGCAACAGATACAGCAAACATCACATTATAATGTTAATGAGATGCTACCGCCCATAATCTGCTACGCACTAGAGTAGCTTTTCACTTTCCACATTTACGATGGACCTGGTCTGTGATCAACACCACACACTGTCCCCTGCACAGCGCAGCGCAATCGCAAGGGGGCGCAGCTGAGTTTTGGCGCAATGCGTAAAATGTTATGGTCACTTGGCTCACAGCTTACTTCACCTGTACATTTTACTTTATGGAATTTTTCAGCAAATCAAGATTGCATGACAAAAATTGTAACCAATCATATCTTCTACAAGCAAAGCCAGAACCATAACAGTTTGGCAATGGCAATCGCGCGCAAGGAGGTATGCACAGAAAAGAAAACCAAATTATCAGTTTCTGCTGCAGGCCTGGTTTATAAAATAAAGAGAGTTATACGCTGAAAAGGACTATCAGATGCTGGTTACCGAAATGCACAGCCACACACACCTTTAACCTCGTTTGCTTGTATGAACTAACGTGCTATACCAAAATCAATGCAAAAAGCGCAAGTTGCAAAAGTCTAAAAATTTTGATGTCGAGGTGTGGTCAAATCCTATGCACTAAAGCAAGCAGCATCTGCTCTGTTGGTGACAAAAATGCCAACCATCGTGTCCAAGTAAGGTGAATGCCACAATTCCTGAAATAAGTGAGGGGCTAGGTATTCTCAGCTGTTGAACCCTACAAGTAACACCCATATCAGTAAGCTGGCATATATTTATATAATTGCAACTACATGCCTTGCCAATGCAACTTATGCATAAGTAACACTGGCATGTGGTATACACATTCATATGCCATGCTTCCATTTAGCAAACACTTTAACAACGGACACCGGCTTAGAGACGCACACGATTTAATCTTTTGTGAGAAATTTGGTTTTGTAATTTTAAGCAAATTTAAGGTTGTGAAGGCACATGTGGTCGCTTAAATATACATATATACATGAAATGGTAATAATAAAGAACCCGTGACTGTTGTGTGTACCTTGGCTTCATCCAGTCTACCAAGTGCCTTGAGTAGATTTCCGAGATCGCTGCGCACACAGTAGAGGTCCTGCGAATATTTGTAACAATTTATAAACATAAAGCCCAACAGATGACAGTTAAGATAAATTAACGGGGAAATTAAACAAAACTTCACAACCAATTGAATACATTCTAGTCACAAACAACCGACATGAAATCTTTATATAACAATCTAGACCCTATACGATAGAATTTTTGAACAACATTCACAAGATTCAAACACATACTAGGTGCTTTCCAGCATTCAACTTACCGGATTATACTGCAGCGCAGTTACATAGGCTTGTACAGCACCCTCCATGTCGCCAGCTGCTACCAATGCTGCTGCCAGGTTAATATATCCATCAATGAAATCCGGCTTCAATCGAACAGCATACCTATAGTTTTCCAAAGCCTCTTTTAACGCACCTCTTTCTTTGTAGACATTTCCAAGGTTAGAATATGCCTCGGCTAGCATAGGATTCTGCTTGATAGCTAGCCTGCTAAAGTCAGCTGACCTAAAATATAAATTATACAAGCTATAATACAGTAAAACTCGCACAAGTCGACACTTTTGGGAGCAGCATATTTGTGTCGACTTACGAAAATGACGACATTTTGTCGACTTATACAATGTATGTAATGCGCGTATACACTGTATTAGCTGCCTTGCGATCGCTATGTACAACGAGTATGCATAATGAACAAGCGAACAATGGAAATGAAGCAATCACTGCATAGTCATATACACAGAACCAAGTCAAATGATGAGCGAGCTTCTCTGCATTCACACAGTGTACATCGCGCATCACATAACGCCATTCGTTTACTGTACGTACTGTATTAGCAATCATGATGTGCGTTTGTGCATATGCAGGCACGTGTGCGTGAGTGTGCCTATGTCAGTGCGGGAGGTGGTAGAAAATAGTAACCTTGATTTCAGTAACAGTAAATTGTTACTAGTAACAGTATACAGCAACCCCATTGAGCTATTTGGTTCTTGCACAAGTGTGCACTACTAGCATATAATCAGGAGCGTATAATGACAAAGGAGTAAGACAGCGATTTGGTACTGATTTAACTACATTTTTGTCGTACGACGTTCGATGTGAATAAAAACTACAAAATTGTTATACAAGACAATGAGCTTTCTTTGTTGCACTGGTCTTATTCTATCGTTCGGCCGTATTACGAAACCGGCGTAACAGCTTCCTCGTTTGAGCATCATTCGACTTTTCGACGAACATAGGTTTTCACAGTTACGTTAGCCGTATTCGGCGAGGCCACACCTAAATTTGCACACACCAAGCTCTTCCAATGAGCCACGGTAGGGCTTTTTCGCCCGGACCGTAGGCCTAGTCCGAGTGGCAGGAAATGTCGGCGTCTAGAAAATTATATAAGTTACGCAATTGCACCATGACTGGGTCTTCGAAAAGCAACAATTAAAAACTATAATCCTTTACATTTCTGAACTATAGTGTAGAATGCCTTGGTGTCTTTATGGTTTAATCCGCAGTTTTTTGAAAAGGAATATAAGAGCTGGCAGGGGCTGGTAAAATATCTGTGAATCTAGGCTCAGCCCGATGGACCGGAGGAAATGATTGTATGCAATCGTTATGAGTAAAACTGACCGCTCCAGCCCGAATGGTAAGCGTTTGTCGGGCACATGTCGTTGTTGCATTAATTGCAGTAGCAGACCGTTAATCTCATAGCCGCGCGTACGAGTTGCCGCTGGCGGGCTAAAGGAGGCCATGCACGCGATCCCTGCCGTGGCTCATTGGAAGAGCTGATGGTGTGCAGAATTGTAGAGTGTGGACTCGGCCAGAACCTACGGTAACTAACGTAGAAAACCAATGTACGTCGGAAAAGGTACGAATAATAATAATGTCAAAACCGAAAGGAACTAAGGCGGAGACCGGGTTTGTAATGACTACCAGAAGGACAAGAAAATATACGAACCCAGTGAACAAGGAGAGAAAGCTCAGTGTTGCTGTAAATAGCATTTGTATTTGTGTATTCACATCGACAGCTCGTCACGACAAAAACGTAGTGAAATCAAGTATCCAATCGCTGTCTACTCCTTTGGTCATTATCACGTGTCTCGCTTGATTATAATATATGTTACGCCTTATGAAAGTGTACCTGCTGCATTGTATAATATCCACAAGCAAGTGTAGTTAAGGTGTGAGTGCAACGCTTATAGGCAGCAGCCACCCACACTGTAACAAAACACACAGTTACCTTAAATTTTGATACCAAACACATTATCAGCTGCCCATATTCAGTTAGTTTGTTCTATATAGTCCAAACCTTAAATTGTGTTACTATTGCTCATTACTCGACTTCAAAATGCATAAATTAATTGTGTAAATTAATGTACAACGATCGTGACTAATTACGTTACTACATGTGACTATTATGTTGAGTCAGCGAGTGAAATTTAACTTAGCCTTTACCAATAAACACAGTGAGAAGAAAAGTGTTATCACTGCCATGGCCATCAATCGAGCAATCAATGTTTTACCAAAATGTGTTAAAGCGCCATGAAGATGACCAGTTGATTTTATGCAACATTTAACGAATGCTACAGTAACTGGTAACGCCCCTTGCGTAGTTATATGAAGTAATTACCTATACTCTAAACGCGTATTAAGTTCTGGTGCGGCAAATATCACTGGCTGGTTCCAGACAATACTCCAATTGAAAATCCGCGTCCCAAAATAAATCGTTGTTGACAGTTTTCAACGCCGCGCCCCCCCCCCGCCTAATGCCGGCTATGAACGCTGGCCGTAACGGTGCGAGGGCGGTGTCATACAGGATTATAGTGCACCGGACTATTTGTCGCACGTATAGCTCCCGGCCGTCAGTGATTCGATCCTTGTGGTCTTGAGTGCGCATCTCCGTACCGTTATGTTATTTACCTTGGGGATTGGGAATAAATGAATATACGCAAGATCTTGCAGAGTTACCACAGCAACATATAATATAGTGGTAACTAGGCAAACAATTTACGCCGGGAACAAACAATTCTGACGTGCTTCAACACTTCCCTGTAGCAACATGTGAGGCTCACGAACCGAAATCAAATGCTTTTTTGGTTGGCCATATAAATTTAGCGTTGGGCGCCAGCATTACCGAATTTACGGCATTTCAAATTAGACCATTCTTAGTAATTAGCAGTGATATTTGGACCCCACTAATACGCGTTTTGCTATAAGGTAATTACTTATCTAACTATACAAGGGCCAGTTTACTGTAGGCATCCTTCGTCAACTTGTGCAATATCGATTGGAAATATTTATTCTTTAATTATGCGCCCATTATATTGTTAATAGGACTGCTCAATCCTTCTATTTGTCAACAGTCTAACCTTGGTTAAATTCGTTACCCAATGAACTATACAACATTCACCTATATCATAACACATTAGGCAAATCTCGTAATTTAACCTGCCATGCGACACATAAATTGTTCACCATAATCATTCATGTTAAATCGCAGCCTCCATTGCGAAGGNTGTTGGTCGATCGTCACTCCCGTGATAGCAGTGTTGGCGATGGGAGTGACGGTGATAGCAGTGTTGGCGATGGGAGTGACGGTGATGATGGTAGCAGTGTTGGCGATGGGAGTGACGGTGATGATGGTGGCAATGATGACGATGGTAGCCATGTTCGTGATGGTGTGGAGTCTGTGTACAGTAGAAGTGTTGGTGATGGCAACCGTCCCAGTGATGATGGTAGCAACCAGGATGGCACTGGTTGTGTAGGAACTGAAAAGGATCTGGACTGGAAATGGGTTTTGCTTCAGTGTCCCAAGGGAAAAAAAAATGCCAAAACAGGTTCCAATGAGCAGGTGAAAGACATTCATAAGAACTTAGAAGCAATAACCAATTTCCAGTCGATCCTTTTTCAGATTCACTAGCTCGACAATCGACAGTGACCATCCTGCCTGTGTGATCTCTCAGCGTCTACGGTTATTGCTGACAAACAAAATCCAGGTGCAGTGTTACACCCGGTTGCATGTTTTCGATGCAACCATACACTTCTACTGTACAAGACTCACAGCCACTCGCACAGAGAGGTACGCTGGGACAGCATGGCTACCCTATCGTCATCGTAACCATGTGTGCCCCCCACCGTCATCATAGCCTTACTACACTCAATTCCTCGCACCTACAAACGTGCCACATGAACTGGATAGCAAATCACCGTCAAAGTACGCTACTACATCGTTCCTAACCACTGCTTATCTCATCCCGTCGACTCCCATCGCCAACACTGCTTGAACATATTTCTACTCCACCGTCGTCCAGCACTCCATAGCCGCCAAACATANCGTAATTCCGTTACCATTTCGTAATTCCGTTACCGCTGTTTTTTTTGGAAAAAACACTGCCTGCACGATATTCATGAATATATGAGCCAAATTATAGCCACCATAGTCTAGTCAACACATGAGACTACAAATTTCATGGAAAACATGTTGCCCTCCTATTATAGATTTCAGAGAACTCCCTCTGAAAGTTGAGGTAAAAATAAGACCCTATTTTCTGCCGTAATTCCGTTACCGACACTTTCTTGGTCACACTCCCTCCCGCGTAAGGGATTTCTCTGAACTATGTTTTTACCAAAAAAGCAGGGGTATCAGCAGAACTAATAAGGGTTTAGTTCATCAGTTCAGCTGTTGGACTAAGCCATGGCAGGTAAAACTAAGACAAAAATGTATCTGAATTGTAATTCCGTTACCGTGGAATTGCCTAATTGAAACAGGGGGGGAGTTTTCCCAAACGGGGCGCGCGCGCCCCGTTTGCGCAACGTAGGGAGAACCCTGACATATATGTACCTTGGGTACATATCTGTAGTACCTGATTAGTGATACGACAACGACCCCTTCAGCGTCACTGCGGCTGATAGGGTCTATGTCCCCCAGGGTACTGCCGGAACGTACCCAGGGGTACGGTCCGGTATACCGGAACGTACCCTGATAACTATCTAGCTGATAGTGATATGGTTAGGGTTAGTGTTACTGTTAGTGTTAGGGTTAGGGTTAGAGTCAGGGTTAGGACTTAGGGTTAGGGTTAGGGAGTAGGCGTAGACGACTCCCTAGACTCGTTAGTGGAGTAGGCGAGGTACGGTCAGGTATATTAGATAGTAGTATTTAGTACCAGGGTACGTTCCGGTATACCGGACCGTACCCAGGGTACGTTCCGGCAGTAACCTGGGGGACATAGACCCTATCAGCGTCACTGCGTGACACTGTCAAGACTCAACTTCAAGATTATCATTAATACTAATACTAATACTAGTAATACTAATAGTAATACAGTAAAAACCCGCGTATAAGAACATAGATTTTAAGAACATGTTAGGCTAAAATTTCCCATTTAGACCCCTTTACATAAGAACCTGTTTTAGGCTAAGATTTTAAAGTAGGTTCTTAATTTTCCATGCAGATGAAGACTTAAAAAGAAACACAGGTAAAATAAAAAAGACGAGCTTAAACAATATCGATGCAATAACAATGCCAATGCCAATGCCAATGCCAATGCTCAACAATAACAATCATATCTATAATATAATATTATATTATATTATATATATCATATAATATTATCGGTGCAAATACACTTTATGACGTCCAGTATGGCGGCGCAGTATGGGGGCGCCTAACCCTAACCCTAACCCTAATTCTAACCCTAACCCTAACCCTAACCCTAAACCTAACCCTAACCCTAACAATAACAGTTGTTAGGGTTAGGGTTAGAATTAGGTTAGGGGGGTTAGGCGCCCCCATACTGCGCCGCCATACTGGACGTCATAAAGTGTATTTGCACCATATTATCTCAACCATAAAAAAAAAACATGTGCAACAACTAAACTCTCCATACAACACCTTACACATAACACTACTGTACTGGTAACACATGCATCACAGTCACTAAGCCCGCGCGTAGCGCGGGTTTTCAGCTAGTACATATTAAAAGTAGAAACAATTAAGAACCTATTTAAGAACCTTTTGAGCCTAATTTTTCAGTAAGCACCATTTATATAAGAACATGTTGAGGCTAACTTGGAAAAATCTATGTTCTTATACGCGGGTTTTTACTGTAGTACTACTACTAATACATTATTATTATACGATAAATGTCATTAATGATACTGATACTAGATATGGTTACCTGAGGATAATATGCCGCCTGTTGACTAGTAGCTGCGAACGTGTTAGTTCCTGGAAAATACTTGTAGAACATGACTAATTCAGCAAATGGACAGTCGAAGTAAATAGGCTACTTGAAGTTGTACTTCTAAGTTCTAACAAAATAAAATCTTCTGGTGCCCTTGAACCCGGATACGGAAATAAGGAATTCGGCGCGCGCATGCGCTCTACGCCGCGAGTGCGCGCTACGTTTGCGAGTTCGTGTTGTTTTGTTTTTGACTTGTTGTTAGTTTGTAAATGAAAACAGACAGTTACACTCTGTGGCTATCGCTTATTATATACAATGTTTTTGAAAACTTAATTATTTAAATTGTCATTCGCAGGTATATACTACTAGTAGGCGACTATGGATACAGACAAAAGGACACGTGAAGGTGATTCACTTGACAAGGAACCTCTTCCTCTGGCTCTGCCTCTGCTGGTACAGTCGCCACCTGCTAGTAATACTTATACTATTACTAATAGTAGTATTGTTGACCATGCTGGTGATGCAAATTCTACTGTAGAACTATGCCAACGTGTTCAGATGCCTTCGCCAGCAGAGCATGTAGTTGAGGCAAAAGTTAGCAATCTGGCACCTACAGAAATGCAGGCTACAGCGCCCCATAAAAAACAGAATGTTGCGTTTAAAATGCCTATGATGGTCGGACCACGGCCGGGTTTTTCTAAGCATTCAAAGACAATTGAACCTGCAGCCGAAAGCATCAGTCGTTCTGAGATTACACAGAAAAGTGCAACCCCGCACTTAACAGCACAAGGAATTCCTGAGGAGGACAACAGTGAAACGGCCAATATAAGCGAAAACTCAGAATCCAGTAATGCGGAAGATATTGACAAGTCCAAATACAATAATATTACTAATCATTCCTCAGTTAAATCACCGGTAACACGACTAGAAGAAAAGGTCGCCCAAATCCCTTACAAGGAGCCATCATGGGGTGGTATTTCCTTACATGAATATAAATTTGAGGTGTTGAGGAATGGTTCAATAATTTCTACTGTCGACCTTGACAATAAATCCTTCTATGTGTTTGGGCGGTTGGAAAGCTGTGACATAGTGATGGAACACCCTTCATTGTCACGATACCATGCTGTAGTCCAGTACCGGTCATCGACATCTGGTGGTCACAACAAGGGCTTCTACCTGTTCGACCTCAACAGTACCCATGGCACATACCTCAATAAGGAGAAAATCAGACCAAAAACGTACTACAGGATTCACGTTGGCCACATAATAAAATTTGCAGGGAGTACACGGCTCTATTTGCTTCAGGTATGTGGCAGTAGATATAGTATTCATTTGAGTGAATGACACAAACACGTGAGTGTTTCCTGTACTATGTTCTTCCTTTGAAAATTAAATATTAATATAAATTGTAAATAGTAAATTGTATATTAAATAACATATTAGATACATTAAAGACCTCGCACATTGTGAGGTTCGTACTGAGCACGGAATGTGAATTTCGTGCTCCGCACAAATCCATGTGAGCGTGGACGAATCTCACTATGTGCAGGGTCGATTCATGTGAGTTTTCGGTCTCGCGAGGCGGCGAAGAAAATTTCTGTCGTGTTTGATCATTTTGGTCTCGCGGGGCTGAAGATTCAGCGTGTACGGGGGTGTGAGACTTGCTGTGGACTCCCTCTTTTTGAGAGCAGGGGTTGGACTCCCGTGTTCAAAAGTTAATTTCTACCCCTGTCATGGTATTCAGGGTCCAGATGAGGATCAAGAGGAGGAGTCCGAGCTTAGTGTAACTGAGCTGAAGATGCTGAGGAAACAGGAGGAGGCAGAGTTGCAGAAGGAGCTGGATGAGTCTGATGGGAAAGATACAGGAGAAGGCGAGAGCCAACAGGAGGAGGAAGAATCCCAACAATCTGGGATTAACTGGGGGATGGGTGAGCCTCCCTCTGCACATATTGTTATATTATGTGAAGCTGTGAAAGGGGGATGCTGACTTTCAAAATTTGCGTAGTAGAATGTGTGCAGAGAATGTGTGGCTTTTTTCAAAACATTAATTTTAATTTTAATTGTGTGCAGTATTGGCAAAACAATTCGAGGCCTATGGCAATTTCAATTCACAATGCAATTCAGTGTATTGCATTGAATGGCATTATGAATTGAAATTGTCAAGCCCCGAATGTTTGTTCACCTTATTGTAAAATATTGTGTTCGAGAAAATTCTGAAGTTTTACCATTGCAGGAACATAACTGATCAAGCGGAGTGTATTTTCAGAGTGTAGATATGTTCATGCTAATAGATATATGCTAGATAATTATCTATGACCCCACGAAGTTCTGGGATCCTATAGCATGTGTTCAGAACTGTTGTTTGTAAGAACAGCTGGTAAGTGTGTTGGGTCTATAGTATAATAAATCTATTATATTTATGCTAATAGGTGAGGATGCTGTAGAAGAAGATCCATTAGCAGAAAATCCTTTTGCACTTGAGGTATTCTCCCAGAAGGAGTACAGAGATCCTAAGAAGACTCTACGTGGCTTTTTCGAACGTGAAGGCAAGATATTGATTTATTAGATTTATTATGCATAAATCGTTTAAATTTATATACCCGCATAGACAAACGAATGTAGGAGAACATGTATTATAATAATATAACTTGATGTTGAAGTGATTATATATATGTCACTTATCCAAGCATGGTAGTCCTGATGTTGATCTGTTGACGTTCCTAATAATGTCAATTACAACAAAATAAATCATTGTGTTATCCAATTATTAGCTTAACGAACAAACTTAGTGTTATCGTGCTGCTGCACCAGTTCATGCACCATGATTTTTAACCCTTTCTCTATTTAACCAGGTTTGGAGTTGGTATATGATGTTACAGAAAAAGGACCATCTCACAATAAGCAATACAACTGCAGAGTGAAGTACATGAATTTAATATTTACTCTTTGCGTTGCTTATTTGAATTGCGTTATTTTGTTCTGTTTGACAGTTGTTCTCTTGGCATCAAGGACAATTTTGTCTTATGGTATAGTGTAGGGGAGGGGGGGTGTAGTTGTTTTCACATTTTGTTTAACAAAATAGTATAGCACATCTATACTATTTATACTAATTTCCTTTCATGGCATAGGAATGTTTTGTTCAATACATGAAGTGATGATGTGCAAGCTGATTAGTAAGATTACATTAAACAAATTCCAATTACAACATGTGTCCAATGCATTTTGATCCTATATAAGGCTTCCTATCGAGGGCAATCAGGGGGAGCCACTATATGCTGAGGCTAGCATCATAGGAAAGAAGAAAGAAGCCGTGCTGCAATGTGCACTATCAGCTTGTCGTATACTGGATGCCAACAACCTTCTACGACAGGCATCTCATGGTAAGCAGCTGCACATGCAACACATGTTGGGATTGATTCATTGAATTGTACAGAATTTCCTACAGGACTTCGATGAATGCAATTATTGAGAATAGAATATATATAGATATTGCAAAGGTCCAGTGAGTAATCTGAGGACTGCATTGTTTTATCAACACTTTAGTACCAAATGTAGTATTTGGCACCAGAAAAAATGAAAATGGAATTGTTTAAACAGGCCTATGATACATCTTGTCACTTTGATATTGTATTTGAATGATATACAGGGTTTCTTCTGAGGGAAAATTAGACAACGGTGGTAATGGCCAGTTTGGGGAAAAAACGCACTTGATGGATTCAAAGGCGTGCAGTAGGCACGAATGTTGATTCTGCAGGCAGACGCGGGGGGAGAGAGGTAGAGGGGGGTTCTGTGGGTCTCCCCCCAGCAAAATTTTTAAAATGTGAATGTCTTAGACTGCATTTGAGGCACCCCGAAAATAAAATTTCACCTTTTAGTTTAAATCTTACTCTGTTAGCAGACCCACCAAGTCTCACGCTGCGAATTTCGCGGGAGACTCGCGCATATGGACCCATTCTCCCGCACTCCCGCATGCCCTACTCATTCTCACGCATTCACGCAAAAGCAGCCTGCGACACCCGTAACCCCAACGTTCGTGGCTGTGCACATCGTGGCTCGTGCTTGCTGGCTGGGGGGGGCATTGATTGAAGTACGGGGGGGGGGGGGGCGCATCACTGATTGTAAGTTGTGTGGACATGCTTATTGCTGTATATGTAGCGGTGGGCACCGCTGGTATGAGGGAGCGACAGCAAAACTTTCCCGGAATCAAAGAAAAAGCTGCAATCGGGGATGACACAGGAGTGTGCCGGCATGCAAAAAGAAACGTTGCTGTGAATTTCATTACGATTTTCCATGTATATAGTCAGAAGCACGTGGTGATCTATTTATTTTTGGATTGCCACTATTTTGACAACGGCGGGTAAATACAAGAACATTTTCACAACGGCGTTGTTAAATTTGACAACGGTGGTGCGCCGCGGTGCCTCCTATGTAGAAGAAACCCTGATATAGATGCATAAATCTTTATGTTGTTGGGAGGACATATCTATTTTTGAGAATTCTCAGCATGTGCGTTCTCACTTGTTTTATCCACATGTCACCTGCTACAGAGAGCCACAAAAGAAAGCTGAAGAGCTTACACGCCGAAGATTATTACAGCAGTGATGACGACAATTTTCTCGACAGAACCGGCACTGTTGAGCAAAAACGTGTTCAGCGACTGAAACGTGCGGGCAAGGAGGAAAAGGTACAGTAATTTGCTTAATATGTGTTATCATACAACTGGCCTTGAGATAAACCCTTAGTAGTAATATGCCAAGCTAACCTTGAATTGTATAGTTTTACAAACTTTCTCTTGAAAGTGTTTCCACTCTATTTTAAATTTAGTTGATTTATTTTTAATTAGTTGTCTCGATATCTATAATTAATTAGGCGGTTGAAACTTACGACTCACTTTTGGAGATGCTGAAAACTGTTGAGACTTGCATAGCAGAGAATGAAGCCATATTGAAGCAAGCCAGCACAGGTAGATAATATAATAAAATCTAATGTAATAAAATGATACGTAATTACATATAGTATATGTGTGCATGTGATTACAGATGTATGTAAGTGCTAATATTATTATTGCTTAAGACCTAGAATCATGGAATGTTTACTCAAGAATCTTTATTATATCATGTAACCATGGTAACAGAGGTACAGGATACTGGAGAGGTGGATCCACTTGATGCGTTCATGAATAATATTCGAGCAACGGGAGGATTTGGAGCAAAGGAGAGGATGGAGATGAAGAAACAAATTTTTGAGTTGAGAAATGAAGAGAAGAGGCTGCAGCATCTTATCAACATAGCAAAGCCCGCATCCCTGCCAGCGTTAAAGCCGTAAGTAATGAAGCTGCAGGACTTCAGTTGATCAGAATTCTTTAGGATTCAGATGAAAATCAGATGCTGCCATTTTTCAATTATTTAGGATATGTGTTTAGCTAAGAAGTTAACTTTTGGCATATTTTGTCAATTTGCCGAAATATTTATCTTTGCTGCCCTGTAGTGGGGAGTGTGGAAGCTGCACAATTTTAGTTGGAATCATAATATCAATTATATAATGCCCCATTATAGAGAACTTGATCTCGGCATCAATGTTGGGAGTCTTTTTTTGTGCACCATATGTGCTCACCACTTGTAGTTTACCGACGTTGATTTCTTCTCGACACAGAGTTGTCCCTACTGCTACTGGGGCATCTGCATCTCATGAGGGGAATGATGATGTGTCGACGCATACAGGTGGCCACGTGCCTGTGGTTGGACACATGAAAGGTTATCACACACATGGTGACGGCAAGTCCAAACCAAAGGTGAGTCGACTCTACTTTATGAGGAATATAGTGTGTGTAGTGCATCTCAGGTATATCGAGAAGTGAAATGCTATACTGCCATCTGTGTATTCCACATCCTGTTGTATCTAACCAGCCAAAAGATTTCCATACCTACTAAATACGAGTAGTTTCAAAGTTGTACCATGTCAAACTCCAGTGAAATGCAGACAAAATAGAAAGTACTAGCAGGACACCCGGCATTGCCTGGGAAACAAAGCGCTCAATTGGTGACCAATTGGTTGAAAGAAAAATACCCTAAAATATATCTATTTATCTAGCTAGCTAGCTATCTATTCATCCATCTATCTATCAATCCATCCATCTATCTATCTATTTATCTATCTATCTATCTATCTATTTATCTATCTATCTATCTATTTATTTATTCATCTATCTATCCATCTATCTATCTATCTATCTATCTATCTATCTATCTATCTATCTATCTATCTATCTATCTAATATCTATATATCTATCTATCTACCTATCTATCTATCTATTTATTTATCTATCTATCTTTCTATCTATCTATCTACTATCTATCTATCTCTCTATCTACCTATCTATCTATTTATTTATCTATCTATCTTTCTATCTATCTATCTATCTAATATCTATATATCTATCTATCTACCTATCTATCTATTTATTTATCTATCTATCTTTCTATCTATCTATCTATCTAATATCTATATATCTACATGTCAGCAAAGATGATTATCGAAAAAGAAACCAAAAACTCGGCATGACTGGCTGTCCAAAGGAATACGCCCGTTCCGAATGTACGAAGTCAGACGGCACGGTAAGCAGTGAATTCGACCATGGATATAGCCTGGAGAATCCAGAACGCATGCAACGCCTTCTGTCATCATCAGAGGTTCAAAATGACATATCCAGAAGATAGTGGTGCGGGTAGATCGATGGTCAGCCAATACAACAAGTGGATGGTGGAGTGTTGGCGATGGAGTCGCGGTGATAGAGTGTTTGGGCGATGGAGTGACGGTGATTAGCAGTGTGTGCGATGGGAGTGCACGGTGATGATGGTAGCAGTGTCTGGCGGATGGATGACCGGTGATGATGGTAGCAGTGTTGGCGATGGGAGTGACGTGATATGGTAGCAGTGTTGGCGATTGAGTGACGGTGAAGCATGGTGTGGGCGATGGGAGTGACGTGATGATGGTGGCAGGTGTTGGCGCATGGGAGTGGAGGATGATAGAGTGTTGGCGATGGAGTCGACGGTGATGGATAGGCTGGGAGTGTTGGCGATGGAGTGGACGGGTGATGGATGGTGGGAGTGTTGCGATGGAGTGACGGTGATAGCAGTGGTGGCGATGGAGTGGACGGTGACTGATGGGCGTGTTGGTGATGGGAGTGCACGGTGATGAGCAGTGTTAGCCGATGAAGTGACCGGATAATGGTAGCGAAGGTGTTGGGACCCTGGGAGTTGACGGTGATGATGTAGCAGGTTGGCGATGGGAGTGACGGTGATGAGGTGGGAGTGTTGGCGATGGAGTGACGTGATGATGGTAGCAGTTTGGCGGATGGGGGTGACGGGTGATGATGGTGGCAAGTGGTTGCGATGAGTGACGTGAATGAATCGGTGGTAGTGTTGGCGATGGAGTGACGGTGATGATTGTGGCAGTGTTGGCGTGGAAGTGACGGTGATAGCAGTGGTTGTGCGATGGGATAGTGACGGTGATGACTGGTGGCAGTGTTGGCGATGGGAGTCCACGTGATCGGCAGTGTTGGAGCGGATGGGAGTGACGGTGATGATGGTGGCAGTGTTGGCGATGGGAGTGATCGTGAGTAGCAGTGTTGGGCTGATGGAGTTGACGGTGATAGCAGTGTTGGTGCGATGGGAGTGACGGTGATAAGCAGTGTTGGCGAGATGGAAGTGATGGTGATGATGGTAGGCAGGTTGGCGATGGGAGTGACGGTGATGATGGTATGGCAATGGAGACAATGGTAGCCATGTTCGTGATGTTGTGAGGTCTGTGTACAGTAGGAAGAATTGTTGTTAGAATGGCAACCGTCCCATGTGATGATGGTAGCGCACCAGATGCACTGTTGTGTAGGAAATGAAAAGGATCTGGACTGGAAATGGTGTTTTGCTTTCAGTGTCCCAAGGGAAAAAATGCAAAACATGTTCATTGTGGCCAGGTGATTAAAACTGATGGTAATGATGTTAGCAGTCCAAGTTTTGTGAATAAAAAACTGGCATTTCACAAATATGTTTGCTCTGAACAAAGGACACTGACAGAGTAAACAGGTCCTTGTATCCATACAAATCCTCAATGAATCCGGCAAATGGATAGAAGTCTAATAATTCTTTTACCTGAACACAATTTAAACCTCCACTAGTAGATAAGAATGTTCATGTGTCCTTGTTCATAGGCATTTTCTGATAACTTGGAATACTCAACCTTTCTTTCTTTCTTTCATGGACTGTAAACTAAAGTTCTTTGTTGAACTTTCTCCTAGTTGTGTGGCTTTGTTCGTTCAATATTGTAACAATTTTATAGGCATCTGCAACAGTGTGGAATTCATAAACATAATGTGGATTATTAATATACTTCGTGCTGATCGATAGATAAGGTCTCAGAGTGAATCTAGTGGAATGTTACACAAAAAATAATCTGTTGGAACGTAAACATTTGAAGATTTGAACAAATTTCTTTATAAAGCAGTGGTGGATATGTAATTCCGTTAACCTATGTAAATCACATCAGAGAATGATAGCCAACGAATGTACTGTAGAACAACTTATCAGCGCATGGATTGAAGTGCTTGAACCCGCTGAATGCATATGACGAAAGATTTACCTTCCATGTTAACGTAGTCACGACAAAACAATTTGAAATATTCATGTTTCTTGTCATTAAAGTAGTTTTTTAGCAGGAATCATATCCTGAATTGTGGTTGTTTTTATGCAGCGACATTTATGTGACTTCATTATGGTTCCATGTGTAAAGCCAGAAACATAGGAAGTGTTTACAATGTCCATTTCAGTGCAACTGATATTGGAAAATTGGCTTCATTTTAGGAGAATTTTGCAGCAGCGTATTCCGTTACGCCAATTTCGTAATTCCGTTACCCGCTGGTTTTTTTTGGAAATAACACTGCCTGCAGGATATTCATTGTGAATATATGAGCCAAAATTAATGCTCACCTATAGTCCGTAGTCAACACATGAAGACTACAAATTCCAGTGGAAATCATGTTGCCCTCTCTATTTATAGATTTTCAGAGAACTCCCTGCTGAAAGTTGAGGTAAAATTAAGACCACTATTTCGCCGTAATTCCGTTAGCCGCGAGGGCTTCTTGTCTACACTGCCCTCTCTGCGTAAGGGATTTCTCTGACTATGTTTTTACCGAAAAAAGAGGAGTATCAGCAGAACTAAATAAGGGTTTAGTTCATCAGTTCAGCTGTTGACTTAAGGCATGCAGGTAAAACTAAGACAAAAATGTATCTGAATTGGTAATTCCGTTACCGTGGAATTGCCTAATTGAAACAGGGGGGAGTTTTCCCAAACGGGCGTTATTGGCGGCGCGCCCCGTTTGCGCACCGTAGGGAGAACCCGTACATATATGACCATGGTAACATATCTGTATAGCTCTGATTAGTGATAGCGACGATACGACCCTTCAGCGTCACTTTCGCGGCTTGATAGGGTCTATGTCCGGCCAGGGTCCGTTGGCCCGGGAACGTAGCCCAGGTATGGTCCGGTATAAACCGGAACGTCCCTGCATAACTATCTAGCTGATAGTGATATGGTTATGGGTTGAGTGTTACTGTTAGTGGTTAGGGTTAGGGTTAGAGTCAGGGTTAGGCACTAGGGTTTAGGGTAGGGAGTAGGGCGTAGACGACTCCTAGACTGCGTTAGTGAGTAGTGCGAGTATACGTCAGGTATACTTAGATAGTAGTATTTAGTCCAGGACGTTCCGGTAAATACCGACCGTACCTCAGGGTAACTTTCACGGCAGTAACGCTGGGACCTAGACCTGATCAGCGTCACGCTGACACTTGTCAAGACTCAACTTCAAGATTATCGATTATACTAATACTAATTACTAGTAAACTAATAGAAATACAGTAAAAACCCGCTGTATAAGAAACCATAGATTTTAAGAACTATGTTAGGCTAAAATTTCCCCATTTAGACGCGCCTTACATAAGAACCTGTTTTTAGCTAATTGACTTTTTAAAGTAGGTTTCTTAATTTTCCATGCAGATGCAAGACTTAAAAGAAACACAGGTAAAATAAAAAAGACGAGCTAAACAATATCGATGGCAATAACAATGCCAATGCCAATGCCAAAATGCCAATGCTCAACTAATAACAATCATTATCTATAATATAGATATTATATTATATTATATATATGCATTATATATTATGGTGCAAATAACTTTATGACGTCCAGTATGGGCGCGAAGTAAGGGGGCCCTAACCACTAACCCTAACCCTAAATTCTAAACCCTAACCCTGAACCCTAACCCGTAAAGCCTAACCCTAACCCTAATAATAACAGTTGTTAGGGTTAGGTTAGAATAGGGTAAGGGTTAAGGGTTATGGCGCCCTCATACTTGCGCGCCATACTGGGACGTACACTAAAAGTGTATTTGCACCATATTTATCTCACCACATATAAAAAAAAAACATGTGCAACAACTAACCTCTCCATATCAACACCTTACACATCAACACTACTGTACTGTAACACTATGCATCACAGTCACTAAGCCAGCGCGTAAGCGGCGGTTTCAGCTTAGTACATATTAAAAGTAGAACATTAAGAACCTATTTTGAACAACCGCTTTGTGAGCCTAATTTTTCAGTAAGCACCATTTATATAAGAACATGTTGAGGCTAACTTGGAAAAATCTATGTTCTTATACGCGGGTTTTTACTGTAGTACTACTACTAATACATTATTATTATACGATAAATGTCATTTAATGATACTGCATACTAGATATGGTTACCTGAGATAATATGCCGCTGTTGACTAGTAGCTGCGAACGTGTTAGTTCCTGAAAATACTCGTAGAACATGACTAATTCAGCAAATGGACAGTCGAAGTAAACATAGGCTACTTGAAGTTGTACTTCTCAGTTCTAACAAAATAAAATCTTCTGGTGCCTGAACGCCGGATACGGAAATAAGGAATTCGGCGCGCGCCATTGCGCTCTAGCCGCGAGTGCGCGCTACGTTTTCGAGTCGTGTTGTTTTGTTTTTGACTTGTGTTAGTTTGTAAATGAAAACAGACAGTTACACTCTGTGGCTATCGCTTATTATATACAATGTTTTTGAAAACTTTAATTATTAAATTGTCATTCGCAGGTATATACTACTAGTAGGCGACTATGATACAGAACAAAAGGACACGTGAAGGTGATCTCCTTGACAAGAACCTCTTCCTCTGGCTGTGCCTCTGCTGTGTACAGTCGCCACCCTGCTAGTAATCTTCTAATACTATTACTAATAGTAGTATTGTTGACCATGCTGGTGATGCAAATCTCTACTGTAGAACTATGCCACGCGTGTTCAGATGCCTTCGCCAGCAGAGCATGTAGTTGAGCAAAAAGTTAGCGAATCTGGCACCTACAGAATGCAGGCTACAGCGCCCCATAAAAAACAGATTGTTGCGTTTAAAATGCCTATGATGGTCGGACCACGGCCGGGTTTTTCTAAGCATTCAAAGACATTTGAACCTGCAGCCGAAAGCATCAGTCGTTCTGCAGATTACACAGAAAAGTGCAACCCGCACTTAACAGCACAAGGAATTCCTGAGGAGGACAACAGTGAAACGGCCAATATAAGCGAAAACTCAGAAATCCAGTAATGCGGAAGAATATTGACAAGTCCAAATACAATAATATTACTAATCATTCCTCAGTTAAATCACCGGTAACACGACTGAAAGAAAGGTCGGCCCAAATCCCTTACAAGGAGCCATCATGGGGTGGTATTTCCTTAGATGAATATAAATTTGAGGTTGAGGGAATGTTCAATAATTTCTACTGTCGACTGATAAGAAATCCTTCTATGTTTTTGGGCGTTGGAAAGCTGTGACATAGTGATGGGAACACCCATCATTGTCACGATACCAATGCTGTAGGTCCAGTACCGGTCATCGACATCTGGTGGTCACAACAAGGGCTTCTACCTGTTCGACCTCAAACAGTACCCATGGCACATACCTCAATAAGGAGAAAATCCCACCAAAAACGTACTACAGGATTCACGTTGGCCACATAATAAAATTTGCAGGGAGTACACGGCTCTATTTGCTTCAGGTATGTGGCATGTAGATATAGTATTCATTTGAGTGAATGACACAAACACGTGAGTGTTCTGTACTATGTTCTTCCTTTGAAAATTAAATATTAATATAATTGTAAATAGTAAATTGTATATTAATAAAACCATATAGATACATTAAAGACCTCGCACATTGTGAGATTCGTACTGAGCACGGAATGTGAATTTCGTGCTCCCGCACAAATCCATGTGAGCGTGGACGAATCTCACTATGTGGCAGGGTCGATTCATGTGAGTTTTCGGTCTCGCGAGCGGCGAAGAAAATTTCTGTCGTGTTTGATCATTTTGGTCTCGCGGGCTGAAGATTCAGCGTGTACGGGGTGTGAGACTTGCTGTGACTCCCTCTTTTTGAGAGCAAGGGGTTGGACTCCCGTGTTCAAACAGTTAATTTCTACCCTGTCATGGTATTCAGGGTCAGATGAGGATCAAGAGGAGGAGTCGCGAGCTTAGTGTAACTGAGCTGAAGATGCTGAGGAAACAGGAGGAGGCAGAGTTGCAGAAGGGAGCTGGATGAGTCTGATGGAAAAGATACAGAGAAAGGCGAGAGCCAACAGGAAGAAGAAGAATCCCAACAATCTTGGATTAACTGGGGGATGGTGTAGCCTCCCTCTGCACAATATTGTTATATTATTGAAGCTGTGAAAGGGGGATGCTGATTTCAAATTTCGTAGTAGAATGTGTGCAGAGAATGTGTGGCTTTTTTTCAAAACATTAATTTTTAATTTAATTGTGTGCAGTATTGGCAAAACAATTCGAGGCTATAGGCAATTTCAATTCACAATGCAATTCAGTGTATTGCATTGAATGGCATTATGAATTGAATTGTCAAGCCCCGAATGTTTGTTCACCTTATTGTAAAATATTGTGTTCGAGAAAATTCTGAAGTTTTACCATTGCAGGAACATAACTGATCAAGCGGAGTGTATTTTCAGAGTGTAGATATGTTCATGCTAATAGATATATGCTAGATAATTATCTATGACCCACGAAGTTCTGGGATCCTATAGCATGTGTTCAGAACTGTTGTTTGTAAGAACAGCTGGTAAGTGTGTTGGGTCTATAGTATAATAAATCTATTATATTTATGCCTAATAGGTGAGGATGCTGTAGAAGAAGATCCATTAGCAGAAAATTCCTTTTGCACTTAGAGGTATTCTCCCAGAAGGAGTACAGAGTCCTAAGAAGACTCTACGTGGCTTTTTCGAACGTGAAGGCAAGATATTGATTTATTAGATTTATTATGCATAAATCGTTTAAATTTATATATACCCGCCATAGACAAAGCGAATGTAGGAGAACATGTATTATAATAATATAACTTGATGTTAAGTGATTATATATATGTCACTTATCCCAAGCATGGTAGTCCTGATGTTGATCTGTTGACGTTCCTAATAATGTCAATTACAACAAAATAAATCATTGTGTTATCCAATTATTAGCTTAACGAACAAACTTAGTGTTATCGTGCTGCTGCACCAGTTCATGCACCATGATTTTTAACCCTTTCTCTATTAACCAGGTTTGGAGTTGGTATATGATGTTACAGAAAAAGGACCATCTCACAATAAGCAATACAACTGCAGAGTGAAGTACATGAATTTAATATTTACTCTTTGCGTTGCTTATTTGAATTGCGTTATTTGTTCTGTTTGACAGTTGTTCTCTTGCATCAAGGAAAATTTTTTCTTATGGTATAGTGTAGGGAGGGGGGGTGTAGTTGTTTTCACATTTTGTTTAAAAAAATAGTATAGCACATCTATACTATTTATACTAATTTCCTTCATGGCATAGGAATGTTTTGTTCAATACATGAAGTGATGATGTGCAAGCTGATCGGTAAGATTACATTAAACAAATTCCAATTACAACATGTGTTCAATGCATTTTGATCCTATATAAGGCTTCCTATCGAGGGCAATCAGGGGGAGCCACTATATGCTGAGGCTAGCATCATAGAAAGAAGAAAAGAACCGTGCTGCAATGTGCACTATCAGCTTGTCGTATACTGGATGCCAACAACCTTCTACGACAGCATCTCATGGTAAGCAGCTGCACATGCAACACATGTTGGAGATTGATTCATTGAATTGTACAGAATTTCCTACAGGACTTCGATGAATGCAATTATTGAGAATAGAATATATATAGAATATGCAAAGGTCCAGTGAGTAATCTGAGGACTGCATTGTTTTATCAACACTTTAGTACCAAATGTAGTATTTGGCAGCAAAAAAATGAAAATGGAATTGTTTAAACAGGCCTATGATACATCTTGTCACTTTGATATTGTATTTGAATGATATACAGGTTTCTTCTGAGGAAAATTAGACAACGGTGTAATGGCCAGTTTGGGGAAAAAACGCACTTGATGATTCAAAGGCGTGCAGTAGCACGAATGTTGATTCTGCAGGCAGACCGGGGGAGAGAGGTAGAGGGTTCTGTGGGTCTCCCCCCAGCAAAATTTTTAAAATGTGAATGTCTTAGACTGCATTTGAGGCACCCGAAAATAAAATTTCACCTTTTAGTTTAAATCTTACTCTGTTAGCAGACCCACCAAGTCTCACGCTGTGAATTTCGCGGGAGACTCGCGCATATGGACCCATTCTCCCGCACTCCCGCATGCCTACGCATTCTCACGCATCACGCAAAAGAAAAAAGGAGAAAAAAAGCAGCCTGCGACACCCGTTACCCACGTTCGTGCTGTGCACATCGTGGCTCGTGCTTGCTAGCTGGGCGGCATTGATTGAAGTACGGGGGGGGGGGGCGCACTGATTGTTATAGTTGTGTGGACATGCTTATTGCTGTATATGTAGCGGTGGGCACCGCTGGTATGACGGAGCGACAGCAAAACTTTCCCGGAATCAAGGAAAAAGCTACAATCAAGGATGACACAGGAGTGTGCGCGCATGCAAAAAGAACGTTGCTGTGAATTTCATTACGATTTTCCATGTATATAGTCAGAAGCACGTGGATCTATTTATTTTTGGATTGCCACTATTTTGACAACGGCGGGTAAATACAAGAACATTTTCACAACGGCGTTGTTAAATTTGACAACGGTGGTGCGCCGCGGTGCTTCCTATGTAGAAAAACCTGATATAGATGCATAAATCTTTATGTTGTTGGGAAGACATATCTATTTTGAGAATTCTCAGCATGTGCGTTCTCACTTGTTTTATCCACATGTCACCTGCTACAGAGAGCCACAAAAGAAAGCTGAAGAGCTTACACGACGAAGATTATTACAGCAGTGATGACGACAATTTTCTCGACAGAACCGGCACTGTTGAGCAAAAAGAGTTCAGCGACTGAAACGTGCGGCAAGGAGAAAAGGTACAGTAATTTGCTTAATATGTGTTATCATACAACTGGCCTTGAGATAAATCCTTAGTAGTAATATGCCAAGCTAACCTTGAATTGTATAGTTTTACAAACTTCCTCTTGAAAGTGTTTCCACTCTATTTTAAATTTAGTTGACTTATTTTTAATTAGTTGTCTCGATATCTATAATTAATTAGGCGGTTGAAAATTACGACTCCTTTTGAGATGCTGAAAACTGTTGAGACTTGCATAGCAGAGAATGAAGCCATATTGAAGCAAGCCAGCACAGGTAGATAATTAATAAAATCTAATGTAATAAAATGATACGTAATTACATATAGTATATGTGTGCATGTGATTACAGATGTATGTAAGTGCTTAAATATTATTATTGCTTAAGACCTAAGATCATGGAATGTTTTACTCAAGAATCTTTATTATATCATGTAACCATGTAAAGAGGTACAGGATACTGAGAGGTGGATCCACTTGATGCGTTCATGAATAATATTTCGAGCAACGGGAGATTTGGAGCAAAGGAGAGATGGAGATGAAGAAACAAATTTTTGAGTTGAGAAATGAAGAGAAGAGGCTGCAGGCATCTTATCAACATAGCAAAGCCCGCATCCCTGCCAGCGTTAAAGCCGTAAGTAATGAAGCTGCAGGACTTCAGTTGATCAGAATTCTTTAGGATTCAGATGAAAAATCAGATGCTGCCATTTTTCAATTATTTAGGATATGTGTTTAGCTAAGAAGTTAACTTTTGGCATATTTTGTCAATTTGCCGAAATATTTATCTTTGCTGCCCTGTAGTGGGGAGTGTGGAAGCTGCACAATTTTAGTGGAATCATAATATCAATTATATATGCCCATTATGAGAACTTGATCTCTGGCATCAATGTGGGAGTCTTTTTTTGTGCACCATATGTGCTCACCACTTGTAGTTTACCCGACGTTGATTTCTTCTCGACACAAGTTGTCCCTACTGCTACTGGGGCATCTGCATCTCATGAGGGGAATGATGAATGTGTCGACGCATACAGGGCCACGTGCCTGTGGTTGGACACATGAAAGGTTATCACACACATGGTGACGGCAAGTCCAAACAAAGGTGAGTCGACTCTACTTTATGAGGAATATTGTGTGTAGTGCATCTCAGGTATATCGAGAAGTGAAATGCTATACTGCCATCTGTGTATTCCACATCCTGTTGTATCTAACCAGCCAAAAGATTTCATACCTACTAAATACGAGTAGTTTCAAAGTTGTACCATGTCAAACTCCAGTGAAATGCAGACAAAATAGAAAGTACTAGCAGGACACCCGGCATTGCCTGGGAAACAAAGCGCTCAATTGGTGACCAATTGGTTGAAAGAAAAATACCCCTAAAATTAATCTATTTATCTAGCTAGCTAGCTATTCTATTCATCCATCTATCTATCAATCCATCCATCTATCTATCTATTTATCTATCTATCTATCTATCTATTTATTTATTCATCTATCTATCCATCTATCTATCTATCTATCTATCTATCTAATATCTATATAATCTATCTATCTACCTATCTATCTTCTATTTATTATCTATCTATCTTCTATCTATCTATCTATCTATCTATCTCTCTATCTATCTATCCATCCATCTATCTATCTATCTATCTATCTATCTATCTATCTATCAATCTGTCTATCTATCTATCTAACTATCTATCTATCTTTCTATCTATCTATCTATCTACCTATCTAACTATCTATCTATCTATCTAACTATCTATCTATCTACCTACCTATCTATATATATATCTGTCTTTTTATCTACCTATCTATCTATCTATAACTATCTATCTATCAACCTACCTACCTACCTATCTATCTATCTATCTATCTATCTATCTATCTATCTATCTATCTATCTATCCTATCTATCTATCTATCTACCATCTATCTATCTACTCCTAACTATCTATCTATCTACCTACCTATCTATATATCTATCTGTCTTTTTATCTACCTATCTATCTATAACTATCTATCTATCTATCTACCTACCTACCTATCTATCTATCTATCTATCTACCTACCTATCTATCTCTCTAAC